GTTGCATTATTTCTATCTCATATTATCATGTGAATGTTCTTTTTTTAACAATAAAAACCAAGAATTTAAACAAAAATGTTAAATAATAAACTGCGGTCAAGTATTAGAATGTGTCCGTCCCTTCATCATCTACAAGGGAATTTGTGAATGTTACATCACAATGCTATATCTATTTGCATTCAAAGACCAGTAGTTAATGTTTTAAGTTAATGTCAGTGAATTTTTAAAAATCTCTATAAATAGTGAAGCTATTCATTGTGTTCAAGGATTTTGTCATTCTTCAATGATAGGATTTTCTTCTCATTTTAGAGTATTTAATTGCATCACTCATTCTGTTTTAATATTTAATAATGATTTTATTAGCTGTATAGTATAAGAGTGGAAAGAATTGCAGTATCTAGTGCCGGTCATCAATTTTTTCTTATCATGATTTAATGAATATTATAATTACAAGGAGAGGCAGAAATATAAATTAGCTTGTTAGTTGGTTGGAACTTGCTAGTTTATTGGTTTTAGCTTGGGCAAAGCCCAGAATAGGCAAAAGGAGAAAGAAAAATATCTGGGGGTGTCTTAGAAGTCCTGGCACAAAATTTCTGCAACTTAATAATCATTCCTCATTTTAAATAATGAATACAGAGGCTTTAAATAAAGTTATAAACACCGCCAATAACAATTCCTGCTGGTTCCATGGTAATTGACAGGAATCTTGACTTACAAAACTTAATCTTAGTGGGTATGTGTTCCTTTAATCTCTCTTAATGCGTTGCAACAGCTTTTCATTATTTTTTCTTTAACATTTTTACTGTGTTTTTTTTTGTCCAGCTAAGGCAAAAACATGAGTTACTTTGAGTGGGAAAACTTGGCATAGTCATCACGGTAATAGCATTTTTTACTTAAGTAGTACCTCTTGCCTGAGGTTTTCAAAGTGCTTTTGAGTACATTCTATTAGGCCTGTGGGATGGAGGTCAGGAGAAGAGTTATTTGTAGGCACCATACATTTAAAGCCTCTATAGAAGTGTAACCCAGGCCATGGGAAGAAAGAATTTTCATCTTCAGTGCTCTAGATATGGATATGTGTATGAAGTGATTCCTAAATTTTCAGTGCCATTTGTTAAAAAATGGAACCAGATAATACTGAATTTAATGTGCTTTTAAACCTGTTTTAAAGTAAGTCATTTTTAACCCCCTCCAGCAACTGCTTCGAGAACGACAGCAGATGGCCAGCCGTCCTTTTGCTTCTGTTGATGTAGCACTGGAAGTAGGAGCTGAACAAACAGACTTTCTGCGAGGGCCATTAGAGGTAGGAACAGTGGTGCTGAAAGGGGACCACTGTGATTTGCATATTTATATTGCTTCTCTAATCTGCATCTGCTTGTGAAGCCAAACAGAGTCTGATTATTGAGAGTTGACAAGATTCAACTACATATGTTATGCCATTTTCAAGTAACATAGTTTTAATCCTGTGACATGAGCTGTAACAAAAGTCACTGGAGAATCTATTATCCTAGGCAAGAGTGACAGACTGCTCACCTGGAAGCCTTTCCCTGACAGTAGGAGCTGAAGGAATTTAAGACATAGATATGATGGAAGAAACAAAGTGCCTATATTTAGTCCTTGGAGTACCCAGTGCCCCCTAGTTAACAATTCGCATCTATCTTTATTAACAGTTTACTATAAAAGGTGGGTGGAGATGAGTTGCATTTTAATTACATGGTTTCATTTTTGAATGTTGAAAGGGTAAAAATATAATGAATATTTTTATTTGTGGTTAATGGCTATATCATTATATTCCTTTATTGCAAAGGCAGAAATAGAGTATGGTGAAACAGAAATCATTACGGGCAAGTAAATGTGGTTTTAGAATTGTAAAATAATGCATGAAATGGTTTTTGAAAATAATAACTTCAAAGGAAGAAAAATTCACAGATTCTGTTTAATGACTAATCAAAGTATTTTGAGGCATACTAATTTAATTGTATGTTTATTAT